ATCTAGTCGAGTCCTTACATGCTATGAAGCTTCGGGGCAAAGTTTAATTTTCCCAGGACTCGTAGAACCTACTGTTTAGTGATACAAAATTATATTTCTGCTTAAAAAAAGATGACGCAGTCAAAATGATTTAATGGAAATCTAAAACAGAAGCCAAATGGTAGATGATTTTAATCCAAACAAAATATAACCTATAAAAACCTGAAGTTGTTATTAAATTCGGAAATATCTTCTGTTACTTTTCAAGGTGAGTCTTGGGCTGTTTAGGCCACATGAAGTCACCAAGTTCCAGGCTGGAGACCACCGCATTGTGGCTTCCAGGACCCTAAGTGTGTTCTGAAAATACTGTCCCATCTCATGTTCTCCAGCCTTTATTCACTGAGGGCCGTGTGTGTGTTTCTTTTACAGCTCTTACTGACTTTATTGTCCTAAATTTGGCTCATTTTTCCAGCCTATCAGGACTTGGGAACAATCTCATTTCTGCTAGCTTGTTATCTATTCCTCCCAGACACTTGCCTTTCACAAAACAGCAAGTGTACCACGTACACATTCATTTGCTCGCTGACGGAGATGGTGATGAGGGCAGGCGAAGTGGATCTTGCGGCCTGGCACTCACCCTCCACGGGTGTGGTTGTTTAGCCAGTTTAAAGATCATTTACTCCACAAACACTATAGATGGCTTCCTCTGAGCTTCACGTAGGGCGGCAGATGCCATGAGCACTGCCTGTCCGTCCTCGAGGCAGGGAAGGCAGGAAGATCTGTTCAGGGGAGTGGTGAGGCCAGGAGTGTGCATTAGGTAAGGGACTGAAATCCTGCCTGGAGTTTTCTTTAAAGAATAAGCTCAGGAGAGTAAGAAAATTTTTAAGTTTGCTCAAAATGTGTTCAATTTATTCCATAAATTTTACAAACATTTCATCAAATTACCAAGACAATCCTGTTGTTAGGGTTTTATGCTCATTAGTGATTATAACCATCTTAAACCTTTAACTTTATGAATTCTGTATTCTTATGAGAACTATATGTCTTATTTCATTCCTATGTATTTTAGAGGAAATATTTTAGATATTTTGTTTTTTGCTGCATACTAGAATAGGGGGTTTTCACACCTTTATGTGGTTTTTTGGGTTTCCTAGAGAGCTTTGGGTCTTGACTCATAGTTTCTAATTCTTTTTCAGTTCACTTGATTGAATTCTCTAAATCAGAAGTCATTAAGTGTGGGTAATGATAATTGAACGTCCTTTTCACGGCTGAATAACATTCCGCTGTGAGGATGGGCCACACTGTGCTCAGCCCTTCACCCATTGGCAGACGTTTGGGTCCTTGCTGCCCGTCAGCTCCTGTGCACAGTGCTGCTGTGAGCATGGGTGTGCAGGGATCTGCTGGAGTCCCCGCTTCCAGTTCTTTTGGATATATGCCCAGAAGTAGAATTGCTGGACCATATAGCAATTCTTTAATCTCTTGAGGAACTATTATACTGTTTTCTATAGCAACTGCACCATTTACATTCCTTCCACAAATGCATGAGTTCCTATTTCTCTACATTCTCACCACTTGCTATTCTGTCTTTTAATTCTTAAAAATTTTATAATAGCCATCCTAAGGGGTATGAAGTGGTATCTCATTGTGATTTTGGTTTGAACTTCCCTAATGATCCGGTGATGTTGAGCATCTTTTCAAGTGCTTATTGGCCATTTGCATATCCTCTTTGGAAAAATATTTTCAAGTCCTTTTCCCATTTTTAATTGGGTTGTTTGTTTTCTTATTGTGGAGGTGTAAAGATGATTTTCAAACCCTAAAGATAGAGGTCAAATTCTGACCATTTAAAGAATTCTGATTTCCACTGTTGTAACTAACAACTTTAATCCTTTAAAAAACAGCCTAGGAACGTTGAATTAAAATATGATTAAGTAGAACGCATTTCAGGTACATTCGGCACAGATCTAATATTTCTGGCTATCTTTGCCTAGCCAGACGCTGGAGACAATTAAAAAAGAAATGCATCAACACGTGTTTCTGTCTGTTTTGTCCACATTTACAACTATTTCAGAACTTAGTCAAACATTCTAAGAACTACCCTCAGACTCATGTCTTGCCTATAAAAATAGCAGATAAATATATACAAATGATGATGTTTTTCCATTTTCGGATATATCTGGCATTAAACTCAGGACAAAAGAAAGCACAGACTTTAGCCTGTGGTTTGTTTTGGGTCCTCAACCCTCGTGAAGGCGTCAGTCTCTACCCACTCTTCACAAAGGCACCATTGCTCTATATATGTCTGAATCTGTTTAGAATTTGAGAATAGAGGTGAGAAAGAATGTTGATTTCTATTTTGTGACATTTTTGTGGTGGCATAGATATTTTTATGAAATTCAGCCGTGAAATTTCCCTGTTCTGAAAAGATAACACATGAGGAATTATTTTAAGAAAGTAAACTAACTACTGTCATGTGCTCCAAATAAATCTGGACTCAGTTGTTTGTACTTGGCTTAGCTGGCAGATTTGGGGGCAATAAATTTTTATAGATGTCTATGATATTCAGCTATTTCTACATCAATAAAAGGAACTATATTATTTTTCAATGCCCTAGAGTATAAAGAAAGCGGTGTTTACAGAGTCCCTCAGTAAAATGTTGCTTTGTAAAAGTCCTAAAATTGTTTTCATATGTTGTCATTTATTTATTCCCAAGCAGATTGTAAGCAACTCAAAGGAGCTGTTTTTAATCACCTTTTATTGCATAATATAATGGTCTTTGTACAGAGCTCGCTAAATAAATGTTGCTGACTGATCGGGCACTCAATGGAACATTTTATTGGTTATTTGAAAGTTGTTTTAAATTTTGGGTGGAAGGAAGAGAGGCTTTAAAGTTTATAGTATTTCTGTTGGATAACTACTATATATTCTGAGGATTTCAAACATAACGGGCAACTAGACCCATGTGTTTTCTGTGTTTTAAGCACTCAGAGCTGCTCTTTGGCTGTGTCCTACTAGTTTCATTGACCATAACATTAATGAGATCAACGTTCATCAGCCTGTGGCAGACAACTCTGTCTTCAAATTCATTTGCTCCCCACATGCTGTAACTTGACTTTTTCCCAGGGGCAGCCTCAGTTTTGTCCCTCCATGGCACTTGTTTAGAGATCTGGAAATCTTTCACGTAAGGTTGGGGGATCACTTGTCTCTTGTCTAGTGGAGAGAACCAGCTCTTTCTGTACCAACACGGTGAACTGTGTACTTACAGCCTAGAAACTACGCTTTCCATATAGCAGCCGCCAGCCACATGTGGTTACTTAGTACTTGGACTGTGACTGGTCAGAAGTGAGACGTGCTCTAAGTAGAAAATCACAGTGGATTTTGAAGACATAGTATAAGTAGAAAAAGAAACAAAGTCTTAGTTTTCAAAAATATTGATTCCATGTTGAAAATATATTATTTTGGATATTGGGCTAAATAAAATGTATTACTAAATTAATTCTCCATTTCTTGTCCTTTTGATTTAATGTGGCTGTTGGAAACTTTAGAATTACATGTGTGGCTGACATAAAGTTTCTGTTGGGCAGTCCAGCTCCAGGCAGGGTTTCTGAGCTCCAGCAGCTTTGACAGGGTGGGTCAGATGGTTTTGTGGGAAAGAGCTGGCCTGGGCATCCCAGGATGAATAGCAGTGTCTCCGGCCTCTAGACACTAGGTGCCATTAAGTTCCCTCTCCTCAGCTGTGACAACTGGCAGCGCTTCCAGACATCGCCAAATACCCTTTGGGGGACAGACCAACAGTGGCTGAGAACCGTCCTCGGGAGAGTGACACAGTGGTTGTACGGGCATCGCTCAGGGCTGCTTTGTACCTGTTCCGAGGTCTCCTTCATAGGTTCAAAGATTATTTTACCCGATGATCACACACGATTTATGGGGCCTATTTTTAACCTCACTTTGGTGCATGATATAGTGTCCTGTGCACAGCGGGAGGCCCGCGATCACCCCTTTCCAGCTTTTTNCCCCCCCCCCCCAGCTTTTCTAGGCGGTCCACACCGGGACTGTCTGGGGAGCTGTTTGAGAACAGCCGGGGCCCCCACACCAGCCCAAAGAACTCTGATGGAAGCTCACTAATTTTAGAGGAAATGATTTGCATTTTGCCCACAGCTGTGAGCGTTCCACGGGACTGTCCCTCGTCTGCTGAAGTGAGAGGCTTGGCTCTGTCTGAGGAAGGTGACACCATGCAGGATTACTAGGCTGTCAGTGAATATGTTTGGTGTATAGTGAGTATTTAAAGCTGGGTTATAAGGGTACAGATGGGGTTCCATAAGCTCACTGGGGGTTGGTTCTTAGAGAAAAAGGCCTCATTTATGAGAACATTTTCCTAAATTGAAGTGAGGAGATAGTTTTGCTGGAAAATATCACTGGCCATGCACATATACAAATCTGCTGAGGGCCACAGTAAAATTTGCTGGCCCCATAGCCGTGTTTCTGACCCTTCTTCTTCTCAAACTTCAAGCATTTGTGTAACTTGCTAACAATGTGTATAGTGATGGTGGTGGCGCCTTCTTTTGAGTACTATTGTTGTGATATAATCGTAATTTTTTTTTATTTTGGTATCATTAATCTACAATTACATGAAGAACATTATGTTTACTAGGCTCCCCCCTTCACCAAGTCCCCCCCACATGCCCCGTCACAGTCACTATTCATCAGCGTAGTAAGATGCTGTAAAATCACTACTTGTCTTCTCTGTGTTGCACAGCCCCCCACCACACTATACATGCTAATTGTAATGCCCCCTTTCTTTTTCCCCACCCCTTATCCCTCCCTTCCCACTCATCCTCCCCAGTCCTTCTCCCTTTGGTAACTATTAGTCCATTCTTGGGTTTTTGATTCTGCTGCTGTTTTGTTCCTTCAGTTTTCCTTTGTTCTTATACTCCACATATGAGTGAAATCATTTGGTACTTGTCCTTCTCCGCCTGGCTTATTTCACTGAGCATAATACCCTCCAGCTCCATCCATGTTGTTGCAAATGGTAGGATCTGTTTTTTTTTTTATGACATAATCATAATTTAAAAGAGCACCTCCATCCACTGCTATGAACTTCGTGGACCTCACATGACTTTTTGGGGCCCTGGCAGTTCCATGTCAGGAGGGAGGGGGGTTCAGCACCCAATCCCCCTTCTGGCTCACCTCCAGGTGCTCAGAGGCCACCTGAATGAAGCGGCGGTCATCGCTTATTGTTGATCATCGCCATCAAGTCTGGGTAGCTCTGGTGGCGCTCAGTTAAATTTAGCCCATAGTTTAATAAAGAACAATTTTCTACTCCCTGAAAGGCTAGATTTTTTGGTTCACTAGACCTTTCTTCTAAGATGTATGCTAGTTTCCTTTTTGTTAATTCAGATTTCATAGGGCACTATTCATTACCAGGGCTGTACATATGACTATTTCACTACTGACCCTCACGTACACTTTGTTACCGTGTGGACAAACCGTTTAGGAGAAACTCTACCCAGGACACAATCTTTCTGACTTAGAGCTTAGAGGTTGAAGAGTCTCAAATGAGGTCACACCTCACAGCTGCTCTTTGGATCATGGTCTTATATTCGTGTAGCTGTTTCTGCCAGCAGACCGTGAGCACAGCTAAGTGAAGGAGCTTGTATTTCCTCAAAGAATACAGCATGCTCAACAATGTTTAAAATAAACCCTCTGAGGTATCAGAAAGCAATACATTTATCAAATGTGCCTACTAAATTCCTAGTACATTCAGGTTTTGAGTTCTGATCGCCCGAGTGATTGGAAAAGTAGGGAAACCAGACACATTATAGATTCGAAATCTTTCACTTCCACTTCTTGATAATAAACCATATTGCCATCACTCAGATCTGGTTTTTAACGAATGCAGAAAACAAAATAGCAAGCCCTGTCCTCTTGTCTCCTTCAAGGTCATCTAATTAGGGTGCTTGAATTTACCTCCTAACTTTGTAGGTCTTTAAAAATAAAATCTTGGAAATGATGTTCTGACTTTAGCCAACAACTCTCTCCCCCCAAACAACAAGCCATTCATACCTTGTCCTCTCCCCCAAAACAGCCATCACTTGCTTTTGGAGCTAGAGGAATAAACAGCTCAGAGACCGTCAGTGGAAAGCGGAGAGACTGGGAAATTTAATCAAGTAGGTTTAGTGTCAGGCATTCTGCAAATGGGCTTTGGTCTAAACTTGGACTCAAGTTCAACATATTTGGAAGTCACACTTGGCTACATAAAATACAATTTTGTGTAATTTGAATGTTTTGGCAATTATTAATCTGTAACTGCCAATATGAGCTTAAATAATAGGGTTACATCAAAGTTTCACGGGCCACAAAATACTTTCCTCTAAATTTTAGTAAATTATAGAGTATCATTTTTTGAACAAGCACATAAGATAAGCAATAAGAGAAGTAACCTCCCTATTTTGACCACCATATTTTGTTTCTACCATTTTTTCTCAGTTTTCAAATTCCACAAGATTGTTTATCAAAAACTGTCTTGCTCAAAGAAAAGATTTATTTATCAAATGTGCCTACTGAATTCCTAGTACATTCAGGGTTTTTAGCTCTGATAGCCCGAATGATTTGTTTTGCCTTAAACTCTACTGCTTTGTGTCATATTATAATGAGCCACCCCCATGGCTGGCCGAGGTTATGAAGCGCTAGAAGACCAATGCCCAGTAGCTTTTCTATAGTCTGCATTCCCTATGGCACTGAAAAGATCATCCTAAGCGCCTAACAGACCAAATGGGACTGAATCGCCACTACTAATTTCATAAACAAAGGGGTTTTCATTGGCTTCATTCCCTGTTATGTCTTTGATGCTTATGATAGTCTCTGGATTGTTGTGAGTGCTGAGCGATTTTTTTTTAATGAATGAATGAATGAACCCGGAGTGGTAATTTGTACTAGTGAAGCCTTTCTTAAAACGTGCAGTTCATTCTGCACTCCTGACAGGCATTTCTAGCGTCGAGAGCACTATTCTCCTCTTTTTGACACACAGATTTAATGGGCTTTTAGATCAACTCTATGCAAATTACTCGAGAGATTCCATGTTTGTTTTTGTGTTAGTCTGGACCCGACCTCAGACGCCTCACTCCAGAGGGCATTGCAGGAGGGGAAAGAACACGGACGTGTCCCACGGTGAGCACTGCCCCAGGCGCGAAGCTGGGAAACAGCAAACGCGGCAGGAGGAGTGACTCTTGGAGGGCTGGAGCTCACTGTGGGGCCGCGGCCCGAGAGGCGGGGGATATCTGCGCCCCCACCCTTCTGCTCTTCCTCCGCTCTTACATCTTTGCTGAGCCAAGTAAGCCCAGTCTTGTGTGAAGATTCAGCCTCCTTCTCAAAGGTACATCCGAATAAGCTGGTTCTCCGATTTTCTTTTGTAACAGGACAAAGGGCACACTCTTTACGTGTGCCAGGTGCATCCCCCAAATCTGAGACTGAAAGCTGTTTCTTGGCATTTAAGGCCCTTGATCAACTTTTAGTTGCATGGGGTTCGAGGAGTGTGGCTTCCTCAGGAGCGTGCTGGGAGCAATGTTTGGGAGAACAGGATCCAGGGACTTTCGGATTCCTGGTTATCATGCATCTAAACTGCCTCATTTTTATCTTAACCTCTGGCAATATTGTCAAAGTTTGTAACATTATTCTGGACAGTTCAGGGTTGACAAAATATAGTTTCTCTCTTAACATGTTGATAAGCCATGTGGGAGTTACATAAGGACTTGATGGCCTTTTGGCAAGTACAAACTACAAATAAGTAGGTTTTAGGTGGATTGGTTTGTATAAACAGAATTCATTGTTTGTATAGCCCAGAGGTATTTCTCCCCTCACCCCGGAAGGTCTGGGTAATGGAAACAGATAAAGGTTCCCAGTACAAGGTGCAGGTTCGCTGGCCACTTCCATCCCCATCGCCTCGGGCATGTCCTTTAACCTTGCCAAGCCCCGGGTTCCTGCTCTGAAAGCAGGGACGCTGTAGTGGAGAGCCTTCGCGTGCACGCCTGTCACTCTTTTTGGATGTCCAGCACGTGGACTCTGTTTCCCATGTTCAAGGGATGCTTTCACTGTAGAAGGCCGGCTACCCTCTCTCTCCCTTGCAGCTGCGGTGCAGGTCCCTGCCTCAGAGCCGCACGTCAAAGGGGACTTCTCCAGACACCAAAAGTCCTGTCACAAGGGGGGAGAGTGGCAAAGGACCGAGTTCTGGGACACTGGTGGTGGCGAGGATGGCAATGCGAGTGGTGGCATGTGACGTCCGGGGCTAGGCGTGTCAGCTCCAGGCCAGGGACGGGCGGCGCTCTCCGCTTCCAGAGCCGGCTGCCTCTGCGGGCGGCTCAGGCGCGGCCCCTTGGCCCTTCTGGAAAGCCCTTGGCACAAGGCGTGACCCATAGTAGGCACTCAGTGAGTCCGCGGTGGGCGCCCCGCGAATACCGTGCCAATGGCGGGAGGCGCAGAGGCTCGAGGGGGACCGGAGCCTAGATCTGAGGGCAGACCTCCGGGGAGGGCAGCTGTTTAGGGGCGACTTTGAAGGTGGCCGTGGGAAGGGCTCTACGACCCCAAGCCCGATTTCCACGGAACTGACCTTAGCCCGGCCTTCTCGTTCCAGGCGAGGGAGACTCGGCGGCTGCAAGCGAATCCCTCTGCGAGGGGCAGGGCTGAGCGGCCCCGGGACCCTGAGCCCTGAGCCTCGGATGTTCTCGCCACACGCCGCCCGCGCTGTTGCAGTTTAAGCGTTTGACAGACGGACGGTCTGGCGTGGGCCGGGTTCTGTGAGGGCCTGTGGAAGGGGCCGGTGGTGGCCGGGTTTTCCAGCTGCTTCTCATCATCATGCTGCGCCTGGCGAGGCAGGATACACACGTGAGCAGGACAAACAGAGACCAGAGCGAGAGGGCTCGACAGACGCCGGTCCCCGGGTCTGTGGAGCCGCAGGACAGGCGGCCACCGCGGGCCAAGGGCAGGCGGGGGCTCCCGGACAGGGTGAGAACTGAAGGGTGCGTGTGGGTGACCTCTGCCTTCTGGATAAGGCCCAGGTCGTTTTTAAAAATAGCCAACGTTTTCTTACGGGTTTATTTGTTTGTTTTTGAGAAAGCATCTGGGTAGAACTCTTAAAAATACCATGGAAATTATAGGATAGGAATTATAATTAGGAATTTTAATGTCTAAATAGAACAAAGTTTAAAATCTCTGCTATAAGCTCTTAGAAGGATGTTCTATTGACTGTCTCAACCATCTTTGGCAATTTAAGTCACATTCATAAGCTGGAAATGTTGACAAAAATATCTTTATGGTGTTTTATGTCATTTGGTGGTTTGTAAAGAATATATCCATAACCTCTGATCACTATATCAATAATGAGACATAGGTAGGGTGGACATCTTTTACATGTGAAGATGAGGAAATTGAAGGTCAGCACAGTTAAATGGCTGCTAAGCTCAGTTGTCTTGACTTCTAGTCTAAAAGGCTAGAATCTTCAAAAAATCCATGTGTTGAGAAGTACCTTTGGAAAACTATGTCTTGTGGTGTGGTGTCTGTTTTCATATTGGATGTGCTTCTCTCCCTGTCTCAAGGCTGATTTACCCCTGAGCACAAAGGAATTTCTCACCATGACCAGTCCCAGTTCTCTAGGTGATGCTCCACAAGGGATCCGCCAGGGCACGAGCTCCAGCCCATGGGGACATCAGGAACCGGATCTTACGGAACATCAAGATGCTCACTGAGCCCGACAGCTCCTGGACTGTGTGGGGGTAAGTGGGGAAAGTTTTTTTTTATTATTTGTTAAGCTAGACAATCTAGAATTATCAGGAGAGAGCATTGACCGAGCTCTAATCTTTCGAAAGGTGAAGAAAGTTATTTTCTCCTTGCTAGCCAGAGAAGGTAATGGGAAGAGGATCCTGGAACTTGGGGCCCCTGGTCCACAAGAGCCCCCAGAAGCTCCTAGTTGTTTTTTGTCTTAAGAAACTATCTGTTTCTTCCTCCCTCCTCCCCACCCTCCTCTTCTTTCTCTCTTTCACTAGTAAAATTTTCCTTAGCTAGAGACTATATCCTGTTATAAAATAGTTTGCCAACCCAGGGCTCATTTTACTTGACTTTTCAGTAGCATTTAGCACCGTGACACCGTCACCACCCCTGCCTTCTCGAAACGCCTCCTTCTGGCATCCACCCCACTGGTTTTCCGACCAACCTTCCCTCAGTCCGAGGCCCTGTTTGTTCTCTTATTGCCCCATATTTTTTCCTTAGGCGAGCTCTAAGTCTGAGCCGTGACCTGGAATTTTGAATCTCCAGCCCACATTTCTCCCTTGAATACCAGAGTTGGTGTGTCCTTATATATCTACTTGGTGGTCTCAAAAACATCTTAAATTCAACCTGAATAAGACAAATCACATTCCCGCACCGATCCTGTTGCCCGCTGTTCCCAAGTCTCCGGGAACGTGGCAGTGCGTGAGGCTGTAGCGGCCTGGGTGTCATTCCCTCTTTAACACCACAATCAGAATGGTTCAAATCACCCCTCCTCAAGGTCTCAGCGTCAAGTAGGACTGTACTGCTTGAATCTATGCCCCTCTATCCCCACCTCGCTCAAGCTGCAACCTTCAAAGCTAAGTACTATTCTTTTCTGCTTTATAGGTTAGGAAACTGATGACATCCAAGTTGTGGAATTGAGGTCAAACCCTAACTTTGTAGAACAAAATTCAGAAAAGGCAAGTAACTGCACAACAGTAATTTCCTTTAAGTCTGATGGCCCACACTATTGATATTCCCCCAAATTCAATGACATTGTAAATAATATGTGGCCAGGAGACTCAATATTTTTAACAGTTAATTCTCCTTAAGTTGACATTTAGATTCAATGCCTTACCAATCAAAATCCCAGAAGCCTACTTTGGTAGAAATTGAGTAGTTGGCTATAAAATGTATGAAATGCAAATGACCTAGAATGACCAAAGCAATTTTAAAGAAGAACAAATTTGGACAGGTTATACTCCTTAATTTCAAGACTTAATATGAAGCTACAGTGATCAAGACAGTGTGGTACTGATGAAAAGGGGGATCAATGAAACAAAAAAACTCAGAGACAGACCCATATAGTTATGATTAGTTGATTTTTAACAAAGATGGCAATTCAATGGAGAAAAATTCTTTTCAACAAATGATGTTGGAGAAATTGTGTATTTGTAAGGAAAATAATGAACCTTGAATCTTACCTTGCACCTTATACAAAATGGATCATAAACCTACGTTTAAGAAAAATGAAAAAAATTCTGAAAGAGAACATAGGAAAAACTTTATATCCTTGATATCCTCTTAAGTAGACCCCCAATATCATGAATATTAAAGAAAAGAACAATAAATTGGACTATCAAAATGAAAAGCTTTTGCTCTCCAAATGAAACCCTTAGGGAAATGAGAGGCAAACCTCAGAACAGGAGGAAGGCTTTGCCGTGTGCATGTGCTAGTTGTCTATTGCTGCATGATTAACTCCCCCAAAACTTAGCAACTTAAAACAACAAACATTTATTGTCTCACAGTTTCCCAGGGCCAAGAATCCGGGAGGTTTCAGCCAAGGGGCTGATTAGGGTTGCAGCCATTTCAAGCCTTGACTGGGGGAGGATTCACGTCCACGCTCACCCACGCGGCTTTCGGCAGATGATCCACAGCACATCTCAGTTCCTGCTCCGTCGGCTGCCTGTGTGTCCTCATGACATGGCAGCTGGCTTCTCCTCGGTGAGTAGCTCGACAGAGAGGCTGAGAAAGCACAGCGAAGGCAGCAGCTGCAGTCTTTTTATGACCTGCTTTCCAAACACAAATCTCGTAACTGTGTCATATTTTATTTGCTAGACATGAGACCCTAAATGCAACCCACACTCAAGGGGAATTGAACTGAGCTGCACCTCTTGAGGGGAGGGGTATCCAAGCATCTGTGGGCATAGCTTGAACACTACCACAGCACAGGTCTTACAAAGAAATTTGTGTTCAGAATATACAGAGGACACCTAAACTCTGTAATAAGCATACAACTCTATAAAAATGAGTGAGAGAATTGAATAGGGACAAATAAAGATATTACAATGTCTGATAAGCATATGAAAGGATGTTCCACATCATCAGTCATCAGAGAAATGCAAATAAAAACCACTATATACCTATCAGAATGGCTAAAATTAAAGAGACAAAACATTTTGACCAAGTGTTAGCAACGACGTGGAGCAGCTGGGACACAACATTGCCAGTGGGAATGTGAAATGGTAATAACCTCTGTGGAAGACCATCAGTTTCTTAAAAAGTAAAGCATACACCTAACCTATGGCCTCATTATCCCACTGGCAGGTATTTACCCTAGAAAAATGCCGAGGAGAAGGATCCAGACGCAAGTATGAGTCAATTACATAAACTTCTAGGAAGTGGAAACTAATCAGTAGTGACCAGAGCGTGTCAGTTTTTGTCTTGCGCTGTGGGCAGAGGGCAGAATAGAGTACAAAGGTGTACTAGGAACCTTTTGGGGTTGGTGCACATGTTCTGTACCTTGATTGTCAGGTGGTTTCATGAGGGTACTCACCTGTCAAAGGTCACTGATTTGTATACCGTAAGTGGATGAAGTTGTCTGAACTGGAACATATCTCAATGAAGGTGACTTTAAAAAGATGAAGTGGGTGAATATAAAAATCAATAATTTTGCATCTTGAGAACTGTTAAGTGGCACTGTGTGAGTGCATTCACCATCTGTGTAATGTGGCTTGGTAAACCACTGAAATGTTCTCATTTTCAGGGCTCTTGTCTGTGAGGTGTGTGTATCCGGCAGAGTCGTAAGCGTATGCTGAGGACACAGGCTTGCTGTGCTGGGCTAGGCGACCTCTGAGGCTCCTTCCAGTTGTTGCTTAATCCTGCCTCCCGTCCCTACATGGACAAGAGCCCGGCCCTTGGAGCCCGACAGACCTGGATTCGATTCTGGCTCTGCTATTTCTAGCAGTGTTAGTAAGTCCAGTTGGTGAGTCTCAGTTTCCTTAAAGGTAAAATGAGGGCAGTAGACCTGCATTGAAATGAGTTGACATAAAAAATCCAACACACAAAGAAGAAGGCACAGAGGAGCCGTTTGGTAAATATTCATTTTTTCCTCTCCCCTTCCAGAAAAGTCTTAACACTCTCAAGTTTGAAATTATGGGTTGTAAGAAAATTAGGACAACTTTCTAGAACACAAAAATGTCAGAAAAATCTATATCTTTTAGCTGTGTAGACAAAGTATAATGGCAAGCTGATTAATAAAGATACATCTAAGGAAGAAAGAAAAATAAGGTTAAATCTTTCCTTTGTTTTAAATCAGTACTTCAAATTCCAGAGACCCAAGTCACTGTTTCAAAATAGAAAATGCACTGTAGGTAATATCCATGCATAAATATATATATGCATAACTGTCACTACATTGCTAACAAGCCTAATTTGAAGCCTGGAAGCTGGTGTGGTTAATGATTAGATCCCCCACTATAGGCCACACCAGGAAGCCTGTGGCACGAGGCCATTGCCAGGCTCAAAGTGAAACAGGAGCTCAACTCAGTGTTAACTGTCCATTTTACCTCCACTGATGTTTTCAGGATTTTTTTTGCCAAATTGGTGAATATTATCTTTGCCTTTCCTGGTCTAAAATTGATATCAGTTGTGTAATGTTTGTATTGGAAAAACAAGCATTGGATATTAGACATAGAGTGAAAATGCAAGAAAAAATAATTCAAAAGCTAGAACGTTAAATCCCTGCCTGATTTCAAAGTGGGAGCCACTGAGGGGGCAGTCTTCTTGTAGGTATTTGAGTTCCTTTAATTGTTTTTCTACAGCTTGTTGAATATTTCACTCAAGAATTTCAAATGTTAATGAAGGCTGTTTCTTCATCTCATCAGCTAGAGCATCCAGCCAGGAGTTTGTTTTGCTAGTTGGTACAATAGCTTATTGTTGATTATTAAGACTCACTTAAACCAACTAAATGGGAGTAAATGTTCCTTAAAAACAAGTTAAGCTTCCAGCAAATACCTCAGTTCTGCAAGTAGACACTGAATACCTGCTTGTGTGTTTGTGGTTGACTTGATGTCCCTGCATTTCTGCTCCTTCCCCCATTTCTCTCATGTCACTGCCCTCCATTTGAACTTTCTTTTCTCTATTATATGCTCTCTGTGGAGGAACAGGTAGGGACACCACCACCTGTGAGTGCCTGGATATAAACAGGTGGCCTTCGGGGTGGGGTGGCAGGGAGCTAGAGCTCCTATTCTGCTTTGCATAGAATGTCTGGTGTACATCATATTCCGTGTCTTCTTATACATCTCTTTCCATCTAAGTGGGTGACAGGTGTTATGAATGGGTGCAGGTGGGCTTGAGGGCCTGCACACAGCAGGTAATGGGCACCTGTCACCCCAGGCTTAGAGTTTCTCCTCTGTTAAGCAAACCAGTGTGGCAGGTGCCAATGAGCCAGAGGTACCCTGCAGTTTTCAGGAAGCTGCTCCTCTGACTTCAGAACAGGAAAAAGTTGATATTCACGTGCGACCACCCTTTCCCTTCTGGTTTTTCATTAGAGTGAAGGGAAGTCACACCCAAGCCTGATCTTCTGAAACATCAAGGGGGATTTAGGGGCTCAGCCCTGCAGAGGTGTAAAGGTCTCCCTCTGAGGTTGAACATGGAATATCCAGTCTATAAACTGGAGCCCTGTGATGTTCCTTCCCCTCTAAGAAACATGCAATGAACCTTGGGTACATAGAAAGCTGAACAGCTTGGGTCTGGGATGACTTCCCTGTGGGCTGCCTGGAGGTGAGCGAGGCAGACCAGATGGCCCATCAGATCCTCCCAGGAGCCTCTGGGTCGTGAGTCCTTGGCAGGGCCTTCCAGGTGCCCCCCAGCTGTCTTGAAACCGTCTGCCCAGATTCATGAGCCCGATTCCTGTGTGTAAAATTCCTATTTCTGTCAATTTTATATTTTAATAATAGCCCATTCATCAACCCCTTTCTCCTCCATACAACTTATTTATTTATTAAACAAATATTTACTGAGCACTTACTCTGCCGGACTCTGTTCTAAGTGCTGAGAATCCAGTAGTGAACAAAACAGACAAAATTCCCTGCTGGGCGGAGAGTACGTTCCAGTGGAAGGAGCTGTGAACAAGATAAATAATTAAAATATAAAACAGATTAGATGATGAGAAGTTGAGGGGAAACTAAAGCAGCAGAAGGTAACATGAAACTCGAGGGGGTGCCGGGTTTGACCTTTTGGACAAGGCAGCCGGGGGTGGGGACCCGTGGAGAAGGAGGCTGAGGACAGACCGAGGGACGTGGGGGGCTGAGCCGCTCAGCATCCCGGGAGGAGCCCGGCGAGGGACCAGCACGCGCAGCCCCTCCGCCTTTCCTCCTCTGCGATGCCCTCTCTCTTCCAAACGGTACTTCCTCCAGGCCTCTCTCCCTGTTTCCTTCTTTAGAATCTTCCCCAGTCAGTATTTGATCTCTTCCTAGTCTAGATCCTTGAAGCACTTTTTTTTTGTACTAATTCTGTAACACGAAGAATAGGCTGCCTTCTACATTTACTCATGTGCTCATATGTGTGCATGTGTGTACGTATGTGTGTGCACGGACGTCTAACCAGACGCAGTCCAAGCCCTGAGGGGCCGGGGCCATGTGTCAGTGTGTTCCCCGAGGCCGCTGCTCTCGGTAAGGATGTGAGGCCCGCCTGACATTTGGAATCATGGTTGTGTTACATTTTACCAGTCAGCCAGCGCTGGTTTCCAGCGGTGTGTCCACAGGTTCCAGGTCATTCTCTTGGGTTGGCTTGTCTCCATTATCATCTGGCAAACTTTACACAATGATTGGAGGCTAAAATCTGGAGGATTTCACCCCAGAAAGAGTTTTGAGCTGGCTGTTACTTTTTAAAGAGATCTTTTCAAAGATTGAGGAAGCTTTTTAATATGGAAGGTTTTTTATTAAACGAACATGCCATTAAGATTTGTTTTTCCAGTAAAAGTGCCATTTCATTCTTCCCTGATACATACATGTATACACACACACGTATTATAAATGTCTGACAGCATATATATCATGAAAATTATTTTGGAATATATAAATGTTAGTGGCATATTAGTATATAAAAGTCAGTGACAAGCAGATTGAACTCAAGTAACCATCCAGCAATCAGTGTGAGATGCACCATTAAATATACAAGTCACTCTAATGAAACTTTACATATGTTTTGGTAGTTTCATTTCATTCTAAACAAAAGGAAATTTTACGTTTGAGGAAAAGTCTTCTGTTAGCTAAGATTCGGATGTGTGATAGCTGAGACCTCAAGTCTGGGCTCCGCGTGTCTGCAGGTCAGTTTCCCATCTTCACTCTCGCTCCAGCCATTGTCCCTGCTGCTGCCTCCGTGGGCCCTTGCTGGGTGGCTCGGGGCCAGTGCTCTCATCCACACACTGTGAGCTAAACCTCCATCAAGAGAGCCCCTTTCAAGAGCCACGGGGACGTAGTCCTATGGGGACTTTCAAAAATTTGTTTCGTAGGAAGTACAAGGAATCTCTGGTTAGGTGGAGACATTTCCCACTAAATGACTCCTAGACTGGATTCCTGTTGACTGTATCCCAGTGATGTCATGCCAGGAAATGATGCATATCGAGTTCAGCCTTGTGCTTAGGATTGCTGCACTGCACACGCTGGGTTCCTGGAACATTATCTCACACCAACTGTTAGGACTTCACTGTGGCTTCAGTTTCCTCTCTAGTTATTGAACTTTGTCTCTTGCTTTGCCTGTGGTGAAGGGCTGATCTTCCCTGATCCATTCCATCCATCCATTTGACTAGTATTCATTGGTGTCTGTGATGTGCCCTGGGACTACAACAGAGATGATGTGTCAGTTCTGGCTCCCCCAAAATTCACAGGCTGCAGGAGCGACTGGCGTGCAACGCCAGCACAATGTGATAACCACCACACTGGGAATCTGGTTGATGGGAGCAGGAAGAAAGGGTGCCTTACTTAGGCTTGTGCAGGGGCACTCTGGGAAGACTTCCCCAAATGAGCCAGTGGTTTAGCCAAAACTAAAAGCAGGACTTTCCAAGTAAGAGGAGGGTTGGATGGTAGGGAATTCCAGCCAAGGAAGTACCGGCTGGCTTAGTCAAGGAGTGGCAGGTTTTTAATATGGAAGGTTTTTTATTAAACGAACATGCCATTAAGATTTGTTTTTCCAGTAAAAGTGCCATTTCATTCTTCCCTGATACATACATGTATACACACACACGTATTATAAATGTCTGACAGCATATATATCATGAAAATTATTTTGGAATATATAAATGTTAGTGGCATATTAGTATATAAAAGTCAGTGACAAGCAGATTGAACTCAAGTAACCATCCAGCAATCAGTGTGAGATGCACCATTAAATATACAAGTCACTCTAATGAAACTTTACATATGTTTTGGTAGTTTCATTTCATTCTAAACAAAAGGAAATTTTACGTTTGAGGAAAAGTCTTCTGTTAGCTAAGATTCGGATGTGTGATAGCTGAGACCTCAAGTCTGGGCTCCGCGTGTCTGCAGGTCAGTTTCCCATCTTCACTCTCGCTCCAGCCATTGTCCCTGCTGCTGCCTCCGTGGGCCCTTGCTGGGTGGCTCGGGGCCAGTGCTCTCATCCACACACTGTGAGCTAAACCTCCATCAAGAGAGCCCCTTTCAAGAGCCACGGGGACGTAGTCCTATGGGGACTTTCAAAAATTTGTTTCGTAGGAAGTACAAGGAATCTCTGGTTAGGTGGAGACATTTCCCACTAAATGACTCCTAGACTGGATTCCTGTTGACTGTATCCCAGTGATGTCATGCCAGGAAATGATGCATATCGAGTTCAGCCTTGTGCTTAGGATTGCTGCACTGCACACGCTGGGTTCCTGGAACATTATCTCACACCAACTGTTAGGACTTCACTGTGGCTTCAGTTTCCTCTCTAGTTATTGAACTTTGTCTCTTGCTTTGCCTGTGGTGAAGGGCTGATCTTCCCTGATCCATTCCATCCATCCATTTGACTAGTATTCATTGGTGTCTGTGATGTGCCCTGGGACTACAACAGAGATGATGTGTCAGTTCTGGCTCCCCCAAAATTCACAGGCTGCAGGAGCGACTGGCATGCAACGCCAGCACAATGTGATAACCACCACACTGGGAATCTGGTTGATGGGAGCAGGAAGAAAGGGTGCCTTACTTAGGCTTGTGCAGGGGCACTCTGGGAAGACTTCCCCAAATGAGCCAGTGGTTTAGCCAAAACTAAAAGCAGGACTTTCCAAGTAAGAGGAGGGTTGGTTGGTAGGGAATTCCAGCCAAGGAAGTACCGGCTGGCTTAGTCAAGGAGTGGCAGGCTGTCTGGGATGGCTGTGGCTCGGGGCCCTAGGAGGAAGCGGGGAGACGGGGCAGAGTGGAGAAGCACAGACTGTTCATGAATGGCATGGTGTGCTTAGATTTTATCTTATAGGCAGGGGAAAATGTAAGAATTTTAAGGAGCAAAGTGACAAAGGATGTATTTGCATGTGGAAGATAATTATTTTAGGATGGATTTCCAGAAAAGGGTAGGACTAGAGTCCAGGAGATTGGTCAATAGATTAGACTAGTTAATAGACAAGTGGCAGAGCTGGATTCACATCCAGGCGGCCTGGCTCCAGCCTCAGTGCCCTCACCCACTGCCTAGGCTGCCTCTCTGGCACAGACCTCAGGAGCGGAGGTTCAGGAGGTCATCTACCGGGCTTAAAACCTGCTCTGATCCTTGGGAGAGGTGGGATTACTGGCAGATCACTTAATCGCTCCGCCTGAGTTTTCCCATCTGTAAAATGGGAGAATACAAATATACTACCGACCTTATGGTGTGTGTGTGTGTGTGTGTGTGTGTGTGTGTGAAGATTAAGTGGATAAATATTCATGAGGTTCCAATAATAGTGCCTAATACATGGTAAACATGTAAATGTTGGCAATGAAGATGGTGATGGTTATGGTGATGGTGACGCTGGTGATGGTGAGGATAACTGTGTTTCACATTAGTTCCCGCTGGGGGCAGCTCAGCTGGAGTTGACACTTTGTATCATCAACTTCTAGTACCTGATGGGTTTCTGGAAAATTTTGGAACTTACCGGTTACTCTGGATAGGAAAATGAATCATTTCTCAAATTCTCCTGAGTGTGACCTTCACAATGTATTGGCAGCAAGGTTCCCAGTGAATTTCCAGAACACCAGGGGCCCCCATATGCAGAGCAAGTCAGACTTTCTGAAAAGGCAGTGCAAACAGCCACCTGATACCCCCCACTGCAAAGGTTGTCAAGCATTGTTGTACATCAGAATCACCTGCAGGACTTATCAGAACAGACCACTGGGTCGCACTTCCCGAATTTATGACTCAGTACATTTGCTTTTTTAGCAAGTTCCGGGTGGTGCTGGAACTGCTGGCCCAGGGTGACAAGGAGAGCCACGGTGCTCGCTGTTGCCTGCCCTGCAGTACGGCCTTGAAGAGGGCAGAGGAGGCGCGGCAGACCCCCCTGTAGAGCTGCTTAGGATTCGCTCGCTGTGCTGGGCACTGGCTTTGCCGGCCCTTGGAGCTTATGCACTGCTTGGATCTTTTCTTCATATACCAACTACAGTCTGTACTGTATTTGTATTTGTGTAACCAAGAGATTGGACCATATCTGCAGGCCTACAGAATCAGAACTCAGGATTCCTCTGGGCCCAGGAACTTGCACTTCACCAAGTGCCCAGGGAATTATGGTCCTTGTTAGAGTCTGAGAGGCATAGCTGGCTATTTGGGGCAGGACCAGCACGAGCAAGCAGTCATTTTTCTTACGCTGTGCGCCAGCTCTGTTCTAGACACTGGAGACACAGACCCGGCCTGCAGGGACCTTAAATTTGGGTGGGGTAGAAGGCAGAAAATAAGCATGTAAACAGCAAATAAAGACGAGCATTTCAGACGGTGCTCACTGAGAGGGAGTCTGTGAGGTCCTGCTATGTAGGTGACGTCAGTATCCACATTTTTGCAGAGAAGGGACCTGAATGGAAGCTTTAGAGGTCAGGTAACTTCCTGGGGGAACACATAAACACTGGCAAAGCATGTAGTTCCCACGAACTAGGAACTCTGAAGCCTGTCGTGGGTGAAAGCAGTAAATTACTACAGAGCATTTACAAAATGATTTGATAAATCAATACATGGCTGATAGGTTGTGGTTATGTATTCTGGCTTTATGCATATAAAGAATGGTTATATATGTGTGCATGTGTGTGTGTGCATGCATTCATGCATGTCTGTGTGTGCATGTGCGTGCATACACAGGAAAGAGACCTGGATGGACGTGCCCCCAAGAGTTCCATTGGGAATGTCTCTGGAGAGGAGAGCTGGATGGGTGGGAATAATGGAACACTAACCCTTTCTCTTGTATTATTCTGTGTTCTCTGAGTTGCATAAAATGAGTAAATACATACTATTTAAGAAAAGAAATACAAAATACAAAATTTAATAAACATTCCTCTTGTCAACATTCGTAGACAGAGTGCTGGAGAGGGATTTCAGTGCGGCTCCAGTGTGCCTTCAAGGACGCCACATCTGTCTCCGGGAGTTGAGGAGGCACCACCACCCTCGGTCTGGGCAGAGGAAGGGTGCGCAGAGCGTCCCCGGTGGGAGAGGCGGGGTCATCAGAAACAGACCTGCAGACCCTGCCCCTTATGTCTCTGTCGCCCCCTCGCTGGAATCACTTGCTGATGAGGTCTCAAAGCCCTCATTTTTGAAGAAAACAGGTAACTCTCTCCCATATTTTTCATTTGTGCATTTGGTTTCCTATCCTATAGCTAAATGCAGGTCACAACCCAGAGCTTGTTGGCATCACTAGTCAATCTGGATAGTGAATGTGACGCGGATGCTTTGACAGCCCTGTAGCTCCGACTCCGCAGTCAGCCTGGGCATGACGCATGGGCATCCTTAGCTCAGGCCCTAGGGCTGGGCCCCTGCCACTGGTGCATCTGCTGGCTGGCCACTGTCTGCAGCACCGGGCCACAGGGGAGTCCCTGGAACGGAAGCCTGATGGAAATGACTGGGCAAGTCTTGGGACGAGATAGAAGGAGAAATTTAAGATACTTCGGGTTGGCAAGCAGCCTCCATCCCATTAAACACTCGGGTTTTGGGAAGGGGCAGGTAGGGTTTCAGTCACATGTCGATTGATACCCTCCGAAGGAACAGCATGTACGTTTCAGTGGCAGAAAAAGAAAATCACTGTTCTACATGGCTATTAATAATTTAAACATTGCCTTATCATATTACATATTCTCCTTAGATCCAGTGACCTACATGAGAAAATCCTTAATTACTCGGTGTTGGTCTAAATAATCTTTTCTTAAAAAAGAAGCATAAAAGCTCAAATTGAATCCAAGCACATAAATTTTTCACTGGCATCTATTAGAATTTTTCTTTTTGAGGCTTTCCAGTATTTTAGAATATTAGACATAAACACTGATCTTAGCAAAGACTAGTGATGGCGGCGGACCAGGCATATGTTCTCTGTTCAGTGTAACAAATACTCACGGCGCTCTCACCAGCTCGGGCCCTGTCGCAGCGCTGTGGAGGTGAGAAAAAATGTACCTTTCTCCCATCTAATAGGGCTTTAAGCAACTACTCATTTTTATAATTCAAACTGAATATTTAAAATAGTATGAGCAGTACAAAACACAATGGGGTATGAGCAGGGGGCACGTTTCATCTGTTTGTGGGAATCTGGGGGGCTATTAAAGGAGGGGGAACAAAGTTTCACTTTTCAACAAGCGTGGCTGAGGGAAGGGCCCTTTGCCTTGGAGACAGGAAAGGTGATACGCTGGCCTTGCAGGAAGCGGGCGCAGCACAAGGACAGAGAGGCTGGTCCCGAACCCCTCCTCGGCGGCTGTGTGCTAACTCGCAAGGGCATCCTGCCTGTTAGGGAGCCAGCTGAGCCCAGAACTCAGTGTATGTGATGATAGTGGGGTGGTCACAACGGCCAAGGTTCCAGACAGTTTTATTTCCCTCACTGGAGTTTTGGGAGGGATGGACATGCCAGTTGGTAGCATACAGAAGCCGACTTTGGCCTTTCAGCCCACCAAGGATGCTTATCTGCTGCAGTTAAATAAGCCTAGGAAAGCCAGGCTCCAGTCATCCGGTGAAGTGAGAGTCAGGTGGGGTGTGAGTCAGAGTGTGGCTGTGCCTGGGAAATTTGCACTGAGGGCCAGAGAGGCACCGGTCACCCATGGCCTGGTAGTGTAGGTGATGGGTCGGGCCCCGGGTCACTGGGGCTGAGGCCGGAACGGCACTACTGCTGCCCTCTGCCGGTGAGGTCAGTCGGGGTAAGCAGGCTTCAGCGACAAGCATCTTTGCTATGCAAATGAAGGGTTAGGAGAAGCCTTGCTTCCCTGATATGTGAGGACCCTTCAGAAGTAACTCAGGAAATGCTGTTTGCCGTGGAAGTGGGCACCAAGATGGCTTCTGGCCATTCCCTGAATAGGTGTGAGGCTGTCTTCATGAGAAAGGGCTCACGGTTCAAGCGTCAGTCCCCTAGGAGGCTGCTCTTCTCACGCATGTCACCAAGAAGAGTCTGAGCAGTACTTTTCTGCATTTGAGCCAATTTCCAGTGAAGCTAGGAGTCCAAAAGCATATGCTGTTTGACACCGTGTCCAAAAAGGTGGTTGAACTTTTACGCTGGGGCTGAGATGGGAGCAGGAGACAAGTGTGGTTCTGCAGAAGAGAATCCAGGGGTCACGCTTACCACCTCTGGTCATCAGCGGTTCTCGTATTTGTGTGATCCAGTCTCTGTATGTCCATTGGCCTGTTTATTTTTTTAAACAAACACATATAAAATGTACTGAAATTTGTCTAATGTTGGCTATCAGGAGGCACCTTTAGGTGTCCTCCATGGAGGGAAGTGACTAAGAAATGAGGGAAGCCCCAGAGTAGTGTGTTCCCATTAGCTCCTGTGTTTCACCTTAAATCTTGAACGTGGTCTCTAAGCTTTAATTCTCTGTACAAACATCCAGTGTTGGTACTTCTTTTTTTATTACTTTCATTGATTTTAGTATTTTTAATAATATTGACAGAGAACTAGAAATAATTTTGTATCATTTTAATATGCTGTTTTTTTCAGTATATTTTTAATTTTAAAAAAATAGGCTTTATTATTTCAAAAATAGGTAATTTTATGCAGACATTCTTGATGAAAATGACATCTTTCAGTTGTGATTCTGATTTCCACTCCATAATCAGCCAATGTAAAGTGTCACAAACCAAAGTTTATCTACATCACTAGCTGATCTGGTTAATGGGTCCAAGACTGACTATTTTGACGGCTGAGTGAGTCTGATGAGCTGGCAGTGCCAAGGAGCACTTTGGCTGCGTGGCAGGGGGAAGCCGGGATGGAGAGTTTGGTGAAGTGAGAATGTTTAATTACTACCACTGACGCTGTTATTTCATTAACTCACACTTTCCCTTACATCCGTTCCTTCTTTGTATATTCATATCGTAACATCGGGTTCTGTAGTCTGTTCCAAGGAGGAAAAAATAGCCTCTCTTTCTCAGGCCAAATCAGAGTGCTGTCAGTCACCGTCATTTACCTGCCTATAAAAGGCAGGTGAACTTTAACCCTGTGGGCTACATGCGCAACCTTCTGACATTTATTATCTTGCTGAAAGGCGAGCAGCATTTAGCTTTCCTGTTGCCCCTGTGGCTTCGGGGATCACCCGTGGCTGACACCTGACTTGGGACCTCGTGCGTTTTCAGGTGGTTGTATGTGTCTAGACAGGTCCAGGCAGAGACAACGTCATTTGCCCTGCGCCTGATTTAACCTGGCCTTGGATGATATCACAGACAGGGTTGGAACCTTTCACAGTAGATTACATCAATCTAACCATTATTTCAATATTCTGTCTCTTTGTTTGAGCAGCTTAGCTCCAGAGATAACATTTCACAGACTCATGCTCTCTCTAAACCAACGCTGCTGTCATGCGGACCTATTCTGATGCCTCCCACACACGTGGATTTTCCCGAGTCACCTTGGGTCTGCTCTTCCCTGGTCCTTACGGGGCTATTGTGGGAGAGCTGGGCCATCAGTGGCGTTGCCTTCTCGGCCACGACTTCATCCGGGCAAAGCAGACCAGAGCAGACAGGGCTGAAGGCCTGCGCGGAGATTCCCCAGATCCTGGGGCCAGGCTTGGATGTTAGCAGGTGATTGTCGTACGGGGCGGGTGTTGGCATTCGATTCCGATTACCATCACCTTCAGTATTATTTGGATAAAACCTCAAGTAACACCCATGGAAGTAAATGGCTGACTGATGAAACAGTTTCAGGTGGTCCTTTCACCCAAATCCCTGAACAAAAAAGCGGCGCCGGCTGCTCGCCTCGAGGTTCTGTCCTTTCTCCACTTCCTGTTCGGCCGCAGAGAAAGGCTCACTTGGGCCAATAGAGCCAGCACAGTTTGGAAGGTTAAAATTTAATATATTTAGAGCTAGAAGAGCCAATTCAGACAATTTAAGCAAAACGTTATTTTCTTTGAGTGCAGACTGTCTCTCCTGGAAGACTCAAATCCTGTGTGTGGCTGGGCTATTTCATTTTGGCTGGCTGAGTTCATTTGGCTGGTTCTGGCTTCACCTCTGCCCCGTGGTCCACCCCTTCCAGAGTGAAAATATTGACACATGTGATCTCAATGGGATGATGAGGGCAGAGGGTGGATGGGATGACAGGGAGCAGGTTCTGCCACTCCGCCAACATCCCGCTGTCGGGAGAACTGGGGAGCGTTTGGATGTCTTCTAGGGGCACGCGGAGCATCCTGGGCAGCTGGGAGGACCCACTTCCGTTCACCCTGTTGCTTCTGACCTCCTCTGAGGGCCGAGTGCTACGTGCCCCTCAGCACAGAGTGCCTGTGTGTGCTCAGCTCCTGGCTGACCGTATGTCTGGCTCACAGGGGCTCCTCTTCTCAGTGATGCCCCGAAAGCGAGCTGCGACTTCCCTGCACACCTCGCCCGCAGGACCCAGGAGGTATGCCAGGATCCCCTGGCCTCCTTCTGGCCCGTGAATACCCAAGCACAGAGGAGAGGCAGCCTCGGGGGCCAGCAGACCGTACACTTACTGCGTCTGCTTTAGTCTGTTGTCTAGTCCCTCACTTGGTCTGGAAGTCAGGCTGGGAGAACAGAGGTGTCCGTCTCTGGGCTCTGTTACTATGCCTGATAGGAAAAGACCAGTAAGATGTGATCGCTCTGAAGAATCTGACAGAGCCAGGCGGGGAGGTGGAGTGGGTGGAAATAGAAGCAAAAAGGGACGTAGTGTGACGTGTGGGCAGTGGAGTGTGGGTTCAGGAGCTCCTGGCCCTGCTCATTCAGCCTTGGCTGTACCCCAAGTCATGCCACTTACTGGATGAGTAACCCTGGGAAGTCACTGCACTTCAGTGCCTCAGTTTCCTCATCTGTAAAATGTGGATCGTAGCGGTAAGCACCTCACAGTGTTGTGAGGTTTCAGTGAGACGATGTGTGTGAACTGATGAGCACAGTGGTGAGCACAAGGCGCCAGACTTTTTAGCCATTGTTATGAGTACGTGTGCCATGGAATCACTCTCCATGAACACCATATTCTGCAAAGGGGTAAAAAGAAATTCATCCCTATTGTGGCGTGATGGTCGATGAAACAACCGCAGACTGTACCTAATATATTTTTTGCAGCATCACTTGTAGCCCCGTGTGCTTTTTGTTCATCAGGGCTGTGCCATGTGATGCCTGCTGTCCTGACTGGCTACAGCACAGGGAAGGCAGTTACTGACTTAGCTGGCACTAGCCTACTTGGTTACTGAGGCAGCTCCTTCCCACGTGGGAGAGAGAAAGGGAAGGAGGAGGGACAGGGAGAGGGGGGCGAGGAGAGGGGAAGGAAAGAGGAAGGAACAGGTAAGATTCTTTTCCTTCCCATAAATACAGCTGTGTAATGCTTTACATTAATATCATCAAAGTAGGGAAATCGATTATGTACTCACAGTTTAATAATTCAGAATTGACATACGGAAGTCACATCCCAGTGTAGGATGGACGGAATACAGGTAGAAAGGTTAAGAAGAGGGAAAAAACCCTCATGAAAAATGTGGAAAGGGAATAGAGAAGTTTACTTCCATTGTCCTTTATTTGTTCATTTCTACTAAACTAAAATATATATGCAGTCTTGCACTTTCACCACCTAATTATTAAGTTTCCATACACACCTTCTCTCCATGCCATCTCAGTGTCATGACTTTTTCTTATTCAGAGTCCTGGTACTTAGGTGACTTTGCAGGGGAAGGGGTCACCGCCCTTGTGCTGATGGCAGGTCCCAGCTACCCACCTCCCACGTGCGCCCCTGCCCCTCCATCCTCTTCCGGCTGCTTATTCCAGCCTTCCTCCAGCCCTTCTCCTGCGCCAGGTACACCTGCCCTCAGCCTGAGGTTCCCTCTGCCTGGACTTCCACATTTCTCATGTTTTCACCTGCGTTAAGTCTCTATCAGGTCATCTTATCAGAGAAACTTCCCCTAACAATTTTATCTAAAATGGGACTTATCTCTCTCCGAATACCCCTTCCTTTTTCCCTTGCTATATTGTTGTCCAAAACAGAAATCACCCTCTGACGTGGTGTCCGTTTATGCCTGTGCTTGTCCGTGAAGGTTGGGTTCCCTAAAGCAGAGCCTGGGGGAGGGATTCAAATGCATCATGCAGAAATGCTGTTCAGAAAAAACCTGTGGGGAGGAGGTGAAGCAGGGTACAGGGAGGGAGCAGCCAGGCAAGGGTGTGGTTTCAGGGAGAGTCTAGATGTGAGGAAGCATTTCTGTCCATAACTCATATCTGGAGACAAGCGGCTGGTCCCTTACTAGTTAGTTATCAGCTGTGGCCTGGGGAGAGGGCATGCGACTCCTGGCTAGGGCAGTGCCCCTCAGCTGATGGGGGCAACTGGGAACTGGGAGCCAACACTGGGGAAGGACATGCTGGTGGTGGGTAGGGGTCTGGAACAGGCACCTCAGTAGCAGCTCCCATGCCTCCCCCTACAGTGTGACCTCCATGGGATCTGGGACTAGGTCTTAATTGTTCTGTATTTAGAGCTTGGTACATAGTAGGTCTTCAGTAAATATTTATTGAATGAATCAGTGAACTTATTGAACTGTAACAGTTGTAGTTCCTGGGATACAGTGTGAATGAGACAAACTGCCTTCTGCCCTGTGGAGCTTATAGTCTAATGAGAGCCCAGGCCCAGCCAATTAAAACACAGTCAGCTAAGTGCTGTCCTAGGAAGAGCAGGGGACCTTAGAGCACACAGTAGGGGCACCTAACATCCAATTTCAGGAGAGCAGTGATCCCCAGCCTTGTGGCATGGTGAGGGGCTGCGTTTTCCAGGGTGACCATTCAGTCAGTGGCATGCAGTGGGTGACCAGGGACACACCCACAAGGTCTTGGCGTTGCTGTGACGATTTCCCCTCCCCTGTTTCCCTTTGATTTGTGTGTCAGATGGAAGGGCGGGAAGCAGACAACCTGAGCAGGGCCTGTCCCGCCCGACCCTGGCCCGGCGTCCTCGCCCACAGGGTCGGCTGAAGAGCGAGGGTCCCCGGGGCCTGGCCTTGCGCTGGCCTGGGGCTCCGGGTTCTGCCAGGGCAGGGATGTAGCGACTCCCTGACGTTTGGTGACCGGCATTTATTTCTCTAAAGGAAGCAACGTGGTGTTTAGATGTAACACTCAGTCAGTAGGTCCAATTAAAAAAGAGATTCAAGCGCCCTGAGGAAGACATCCGCCAGGGGGGTTCTTGGCCGCCCCCACCCCATGCACCAGAGACCCCCGCACGGCCTCGTCTGTCCCCGGCGTCCTACCCGGGAGGGACACAAATGCCTTCCCCGGGGTTTTCCAGTCGGGCTTGCTTTCCAGTGGTGGGCGGGGCTCCACAGACGTCAGTGGGGGCAGGAGGCGGCCGGAGCTGGCCCGGATACTGGCCTCAGCCACGACATGATGTCCAGTGTTGGAGCCATGTGCCTTCAGACACTTCCATAGTCACGTTGGGAAAAATGGGCTTTGGTAAAATATAAAAAGGCTATTGAAATGTCGCTGAGTGCTTATGTAATTGGACTATATAATGCTGGAGGGCAGGGCCCGGAGGGGGACGTGCTCCAGAAATTTCTAGTAATTTGAAGACACTCAGAACGACAGTGCTCACGGGCATTATTCCTGCCGGCCTCTGGCAGAGCCACCTGGGGTGGACAGCCCTCCGCAGGTGGGGGGCTCTCCTGCTCAGTGTCCGCCCCTGCCCCCTCGCCTGCCTCCTCGCCCCTCAGGGGGCTCTCTCCGGGGGCTGCCCTCCGCCCGCCCCTTGGAACGGTTGCTGGTTCATGGGACCCACCTGCCGATTTATTTTTCTGACTTGAATTTCTTCTACATTTAGAGCTTTGATTGAAGGGATATAGTATGTCAGAAAAGTAGGTGGTTTGACTTACCGGATACCAATTTTTTGTAAGATGATAGTTCCCTGAATGATAGGTGGTTATTAAATATGTTTTATGTAAGTTTGTTGAATGTTAGAATGTTTGTGAGCATTAGGGTGAGTGCACCTTGCCATGGCTTGTGCATTGAATGCTGACCTGAGGAACGGTGATGTGCTACAAACAGGGGCCTTCTGGACCGGGAGGCAGGAGGGCGGAGTCCTTGGTACCGCCTAGCTGTGACCTTTGGAAAGTTGCTTGACCTTTCTTGGCCTCCGTTTCCCCAGAGGACTGGATGACCTTGAAGGATCCTTTTAATTCTATGAGAACAGTTGTAGGTCTATGTAGCTGAGGAGTTTGCAGAACCCGCAGAGATGTGTATTTTCATTCAGGTACCTTTATCTCCTAGAACTTTGGGTCAGATATGGGCTTGTGAAAAATGAAACCAAGCCGTGAAGGCTCCAGACTATCAGAAACCCTAACTTAATTTTGATCAAATGTTGTTTTTGCATGAAACCGATTACTGCAATAATAATATGCTTGGGTGAAGGGCACTGGCTCCAGACAAAGGGGCTGTTTTGTAGCTGTCCCACTTCTTGCAAGCGAAAGCTGATATTCTCATCAGAACCAGGGAATGTTCCCCCTCAGGAAGGCCCACGCCTTGTTGGCCAATACATATATTGTCTTGGGGCTTAATGGGAAATTCTATACTGGAGGCAATCAGAAATGTTCACATACTTCTTTTTGTCTTAAGCAAAAACAGATCTTCACCAACAAATGTGGCAAGTTGTCATATTTGAATTGTTTTCCTTTCAAGAGGAGGGGTGTACAACTGTGTGTAGGGGGAGAAAGACTTCCAGAAGTTTTCTTGGAGGGAGAACCCACTTTTGAGGCATAACTGTCATGAAATGTCATTTAGATTATGATGCGTATTTAGAAACTCCCTTTGCAGAGAGGTGTGCCTAAGCGGCAGCCAGTCAAGCTCACTGCCTATCTCATTGTGGCCAGAGACACCGTTCGGGACAGCAGTTTCTTACAGTAAGCAGAATAGTATCAACAGAAAACTGGCAAAATGTGATCGAGTTGCCTTTTAGAATCCCTAAGTGGAGGTGAGGTGCTGACTGGTCAGAGGGGCCACTTGCTTGGGTCACCCTGCCAGCACGGGTCGGAGCTCCCTTCCTGCCCCCTCGGCCCTCCGGTGTGCTCAGATACTCGCTTCACACAGGCAGCGCTCTGCTGACCTCGGGACCGACCCGGGTTGGGCAGACCTTTCCCTAGGAGGGTTAACTTTGACATAGAGAGATTTCAGACAATTTCAGGTTGTGTTTTTCAACATGATAGATATGATGAAGAAGAATTAAATTAATTTTAAATGTTATAGTTTATTTAACAGTATAAAGTGAGCCTGCCTATGGCTTTAGCCATTCTTTTGGACACGTCTGTTGCCAGATGAGAGGATGGATACTGGCAAGCTGAGGGTTAACATAAGGCGAGACTGAGCGGTTTTCCTCTCACCTCCTAAGGAAGGAAAGACTCAGTCCTGGCCTTTACCTCCCTCCTTGAGGTATTGGATTTTATGGGAAATTTAACGGGGTATGTCCTTTGTATCAAATCTCTGAATGAGGGTGTTTCACTTTGAGGAAATCCTATGCACTAAAACAGGAACTTAGCAAGTAATAGGGTAAAATTCACACTACTAGCAAAAGTCTCATTGCTTCACAAAAGGCTCTTTTAGTGAGCCACCCCACTGCGCTTTAAAAGGAACTTGCTAAGTGAGGGGCAGAGGCCTGTTCCCTGAGTAATGACTTCAGGTAATTGACGCAAACATAGCCAAATGTTCTCTGTGTCCAGTCGTTCCCCAGGGGAGTCAGCTAATTTATAATTATAATGCCCATGCGCACTGGTAGTAAATCTCCCAGCCCACTTGGACACAAAACTGTGTTTTAGTGCTCAGAAAAATTTTGTTTTGTTGCTTGACCACCTCTGTCCCTCTAAACAAGAGGCTCTTATGGGTAACACCTTTTTATTTACTAGAAAAACATTTGTAAATCTTTAATTTTGTCTAACTTTGTTTTCATCAGAAAACAAGGGGCTGTGTATGGTGTATTTATGGAGACCGGACGAACGAATAGGGTTTAACTGTGCGTTGAGTGTTCTGGGGAAGTGTTTGGGAACTGAACCTGCAAACAGAAGCCTGGTGTTCAGGGTCCCTAGAGCAATGATGCTGGGTGG